GACATCACACCGAAGACATGTCACAATCGCCTCCACTCGTGAGCGGAGACAATAGTCTTAGTCTGCTATCGATAGCCAGCGCTTTACGTCGCGGTTCGCCATTGGATGACGACATGAAGACAGTTAAGGGGTCGCCGAAGAACAACACGAACGCAGAGAAACAGTTGTCTGAACTCAATATAAATGACACAATGAATGAGATGTCGGATCTGTCGCTCAAGAGAAAGAGCGAGACTTTGCAGTCGATTGGGAACCGATTGGCAAACAGTGGTCTATATGTGGAAGCGATTCGATACTATAGTAAAGCCATCGCTCTGTACGACGAAGACTACAGACTGTATTGCAATCGGAGTTATTGTTACGAACGGGTCATGAAGTTTGAGGACTCGTTGGCCGACGCGCTCCGGTCTGTGATACTGATGCCCACCAAACCTAAGCCATACTTCAGACAGGGAAAGGCACTCATTGGCCTCAAGAGGTACTCAGACGCCGAGAAGGCATTCAACAAAATACTGCAAATGAACGGCAAATGCGAGGACACGAACAAAGAACTGCTCAAAACCCGATACCTGACACTCAGAGACCACGGCCTGGACGTGGAGGAGGCGTCACTGGTGGCCATCAGTCACGATAGCATTGAGTCTGCAATCAAGGCGTACGAAGAGAAACGGATGGCTATCACGGGATCCGATCGACAGATGAACGGCTCTTATGACAGCAATTTGGCGATTATTGATCACAACAACTCTCACCACTCAAACCAATTAAACTATAGTTTAAGACAATGGGTGCCGACAGACAAACAATTTCTACCCTACTCTTCAAACAATCGCTTCCGACGGTCGCAGAGTCGTCCGCCCGGACGGGTCAGCCATTCATACATAAACACCAGTCAATTGAGTAATACAAACGGAGGAATAGGAGGAGGACTTCTATCGGCAAAGTGTCCGCAATTTATGCACAAACGAAGTCATTCTGTGGACAATGTTTTTCGGGCCAAAAAGATTGACAACACGTTTGGCAAGCGATTGAAAGCCAACGAAAATCGTTTGCCAAAGAATTTGTTCGGTTATAAAGGCCTATGGATTGGAAACGTTTCGCCCGATTGTAAGCCATCGCTGTTGCGGTCGATATTCATGAAGTACGGGCCGCTGGACTACGTGAATGTCGTGCCCCAGTCTTACTGCGCGTTCGTCAACTACCACAACGACAACAGCCCCCGCGTGGCCATCGCCGCCCTCTTCGGCCAGACTATAGTCGGCGTGAGTAACGGCTTTCGGCCGCTTGTCTTCCGATTCATTCCGTCCAACGATCAAAAGGACTTGCATTACATGCGTCCCTATCAGCCCCGCGGCACTAATGAGTGTTACTTCTGGCGCACCACTGGCTGTAAAGACTTTAACTGTCCGTTACTTCACTATCCGATGTGCAGAGGCATCGACTTCCAGCCCTGGATGAACAAAAAGTACCACAAGAAGTGCTCTTAAGATTTATTGATCAATATCTCCTCAACTCTTACATCGATTCATAATTTTATTTATAATACAATACACTTATAACTTATTAATATTCAATACATATTTATAATTAAACCTAAATTCAATACAAGAGTTAATAAACAATATTTTCCATGTTTTTAATGATTGGAGATTCAATTTGATTTGTTTTCTATGCTATGCTTTAATGGCTTGAATGACAACATATGACAACAAAATGTGATTTCACCTAAAAATGAGTATAAATTAACAAATAATTTACTGTCAAAATGCGTTCATAACTGAAACGCTTTAATCAATTTCGGTATTTGTTTGCAATCAATGGTATTGTTGTCGAGGAATGCGACTAAAGTCTCGTAAGCGATACACAGTCTATAGGAGTGAAGTGTTGTTATCGTCGATGGATTACATTTGCCGTTCAACAGAACTGTGGCCACAATCTTCTGGAACAGATTGGCGTGACTGTTGATCACGTAAAGAAGTATCGATATCATGGCCACAATGGGACCACTCATATGGCGCTCTTTGCCGGTCATTGTACTGAAGAGAAGTAGAGTCGACGGCAGACATCGGTTCCACACTTTCCTTAGTTCAGACATTCGGAGCGTTTCGACCGAATGAGACATTTTGGTCACTTCTGTACTCCCGGTCTCACACTCTCGCCATATATGACGTCCGACTTCACGAATCACCACATTCTTGGCCGGACTGTCATCGCTCAGGAGAGCTCTCACCACTCCCTCGTAGTAGTGGTCGAAGAGAGCGGACACAACTCGTCGGTCCGTCTCGTTCTTAAAGGCACCCAATATTGTCTCATATTTTGTTTCATTTGTCACATTATTGTCACTCTTATTGTTTCCATTCGACTCATTCTTCCTTTTCTTTGACATTTTTTTGTTCACAATTTTGTTATAATTTATTGTTTGACTCCGAGTTTGCCTTTGATTATCATTGGATAAAGGGATCACTTCTGAAGTGTCATCAAGTTCTGAGACTGTCACCGCTTCTTCGCCTTCTTCTGCATCTAATGTCCGCTTTTTATCCTTCACTTCACACTCATCTCTGTTAGTATTGGAATCACCGATCGGTTCCGTAATTATGGCAACTATTCAAGCATTAAATAATACATAATAAGTGACATAACTTTTTAATAATCAATTAAATAATCAATACTTTGATTGTAGTTCTCATTGAGTTCTGAGTCTTCAATAATAAGTCCTTTAATTAATAAAAACAAATTATTACCAAAAATAAGAAATAATGAATGAAATGAAGCCAACCGTGTATTGTAATCGTCTGATCCACCGATTTATGGTCATCAATGGCGTCAGCGTTTTGGCGGTCAGTATCGGTAGCGTTGAAGAGTCTCCAAAGGGGAGAGTCCCGGAACTGGTCGTGAAATTGGTTCAATTCCTCCAACTTCTTGTACATATTGGCGACCAATCGCTCGCATTTACGACAACACCAGCGGGCGGTCGACACGAGTGGTGCGGCGGCCGGCGATTGAAGCAACTCTTGCACGTCTTGGTGGGGATCGTAAGCGCACGGCTGGTCCTCTTCGTGGCCGACACCCGACCGGAACAGACGATTCAATTCACGCATTTGTTGGACAACTTTGGACACACTCTGGCCGTCGAGTCGGTGGCCGTCGTATCGGAACAGAAGCCGTCGTTTGCCTAAAGAGCCGGTGATGTCATCGCCGCACAGCCAACACGTGACCACTTCTCGCACACCACTGGCCATCGATCGCATGCACGACCGTCGAGTCGGTGGCCGTCGTATCGGAACAGAAGCCGTCGTTTGCCTAAAGAGCCGGTGATGTCATCGCCGCACAGCCAACACGTGACCACTTCTCGCACACCACTGGCCATCGATCGCATGCACGTGAGTGCGGGTGTTGTGGTGGATGTGGTGCCAGTGCTCATGGGATTCACTATTGATTGTGACATCACTGCCAATCAGATGATCAGTGAATGTCTTGTTGTGGTGTTTGTGTTGTTTGTTGTGATGAAAATGTGATAACGTTTTGATGCATTCAATCGATGCCAACAGATGTCTGACATGTGTTTGATCGCTAAAAGGGCTTAACTGTAAGCTATAACCTTAACTAATAAGGCATCATTTGAATATGCATTATACGCCCTTATGAACATTCAAATGCAATGTTAAAGTGTATACTGTAGTTAAAGTTTAGCGGTGAACACAAGTTAGAAACACAGTATATGGATCAGTTGTGGCCACTCTATACGCTCCCATCACTTCCCATGACATCAGTTCTCGTCTATAAGCAGTACAAAGACGGCGGATAACAATTGTTGGCCACGACTTCGCTCTTGAGCTGTAATCCCGGCCGAGTTGTAGCCAAACGTTTGGTCGTACGGTCTTAAGTATATATTTGTTTAATGTTTAGGAAAAGTGTTTTAATACATAATTAACAATAAATTAGGTTTCCTTCAAATGAGGTAATTATTGAGGAATGTTAACAAAATTGTCTCAAAACTTAAATAATGTAAAATAAAATCTCATAAATTGATTCCACAATAATTGTATGCATCAGAAGAGAGCTGTGGTCGTCTCGATGGCTGTCAACGGTGTGTCGCCGTTCAGATCAGTGACGTCTGTATCGGTGATAATGAATCCTTGAGATTGCAATTGTTGTAAAATCAATGGATCCAATTGGAAGATCTGCGACAATAGTGTGCTTTCCATCTGAAATGTATTGCAAGTGTTGACCATTTGATTGACGCTCGGATTCGTCGATAAAGCGATCATTATATCGCCGCCAATCGTATGATTCACTTCTGGTACTAATAAACAAAAATACATAAAATTATAAATATTTATAATAGGAATCAAATATTGGGAAAAAATAGGAGACCAGAAATTTGTGGAGTCGGAGTCACTTTAGACACCATTTGTGACATTCGTGGTAATACTGGGACTGAAGTATTGTTGCTATGATTGTTATGTTTGGCAATGTGTGCCTTCCTATGACCGGACGTTCGGAACCGCTCTCCGCATACATCGCATTCAAATGGTTTGAGACCTGTTTTAACACAAAGTATTCATTAATTGAAATAATAAAATGATTTGACAAATAATGGCCATCAATACCGGTGTGAAGTCTTTGATGGACTTTAAGACTGCCATTAGTGGCGAAACAAGTGTTACAGACTTCGCACTTGAAGTTCTTAACGCCTTTATGAGTAATAAGATGGCAGTCGAGCGTCGACTTCACAGTAAACCGTTTATTGCAAATGTCGCACACGAATGGCTTCTCGCCGGTGTGTGTCCGCCGATGTCTCACCAGATCTGATGGCTTTTTGAAACTTTTTGAACAAAAATCGCATTTATTTAAGTGAACAACACTTGCGGTGGAATCGGTGCTAATCTCGAAAGAGCTTTCATTGAGTGTTTCGGCCCCTCTGTCGGCACACTCTTTAGTGGTGAGCGTGTGGTCCGACTCCTGTTGACACAACTCAAGGATCTGCGACACATTGATGTCACATTCAGGCAACTGATCCATCAGTGGGTTTGATAATAAGGATTTTTCATCGAACATAACATTTGTGTGATTGGTCTCGACGTGTCGATTGAGCGCCGACTCTGTCTTCCAATTGGATGGACAGTGCGGACACAGGAGTAGACTAACGGCGTGGACAGTGTTGGAGTGCCGGCGCGCGGAGCTCTTCGAAGCAAACTTTGCCGGACAGACATCGCAACAAAAGTCCTTAATAAGTGAGTGAGTGTTGCGATGAGTGCTGAGAGCGCTTTGAGTGACAAAAGTCCGCAGACATACATCACATGCGAACGGCTTTTCTCCCGTATGTCGCCGACTGTGTTGACTCAAATGCGACGACTGTTTGAAGCAAAGTCCACACACAGAGCACCGATACGGCCGCACATTGTCTGCTCCCATGGGAACACTGGAACTGCTACCAATCGATGGCTCTTCGGGTTCAATAGTGTTGGTGTGGTTCGACACCTCTTCTTCTACAGTAATACCGCTTAGATTAACGTGTATTTCATTTATTGGTAATTCATTGATAACTTCTGTATAATCCATCAGTGGGTTTGATAATAAGGATTTTTCATCGAACATAACATTTGTGTGATTGGTCTCGACGTGTCGATTGAGCGCCGACTCTGTCTTCCAATTGGATGGACAGTGCGGACACAGGAGTAGACGAACGGCGTGGACAGTGTTGGAGTGCCGGCGCGCGGAGCTCTTTGAAGCAAACTTTGCCGGACAGACATCGCAACAAAAGTCCTTAATAAGTGAGTGAGTGTTGCGATGAGTGCTGAGAGCGCTTTGAGTGACAAAAGTCCGCAGACATACATCGCATGCGAACAGCTTTTCTCCCGTATGTCGCCGACTGTGTTGACTCAAATGCGACGACTGTTTGAAGCAAAGTCCACACACAGAGCAACGATACGGCCGCACATTGTCTGCACTCATGGGAACACTGGAATTGCTACCAATCGATGGCTCTTCGGGTTCAATAGTGTTGGTGTGGTTCGACACCTCTTCTTCTACAGTAATACCGCTTAGATTAACGTGTATTTCATTTATTGGTAATTCATTGATAACTTCTGTATATTCAATCTGTTGTTCATTTTCATCGATTGCAGTATTTTCAAAGACAATGTTTTGCTGTCTTTTGTTGACAATGTCTTTAATCAATTGGAGTGCGAACTCATTCTTATGTAATTTAATGTGTTTCTTGCAGTTAAGGCTTGATTTAAAAGTCTTTTGACAATAGGGACACATATATGGCCTGACATCCCTGTGCCGAGTCATGTGGCGCGTGAGTGACCCTTTGGTAGAGCAGGCAAACGGACATTCAATGCATTTGAATGGTTTGACTCCCGAGTGGGTCTGCAAATGGATTTTAAGACTCCCTTTGGCCACAAACAGCTGCAAACATATATCGCATTGAAATGGCTTTTCGCCCGTATGCGAGCGTTTGTGTTGTGTTAAATGGGAGGACTTCTTGAACGCCTTCTCGCAGTGTTCGCACTTATACTTGCGTTTGGCGTCCATTTGGTCGCCGCCGTCAGGTCTGGCCCTTTGAATGGCGGCGGCGGTCTCACTATCACCCGCTGTCATCACTATAACGGGTCCTTCCAATTGAATGTTTGACAGAAGAGATTCGTCGATCACTTTATACCGTTTGGATCTCAATAGACTGTTTGTGTTGACTTTTGGCGTCGATTTTGACGCTTTAACCGCTCTTTTATGACTAAATAAATGTGATTTCAAGAGACCTAATGTTCGGAATGTTTTATCGCATTTGACACAAGAGTACGGCTGAGCGCCGGTATGTAATCGGGAGTGAACTTTCAACCCCTGAGCGGTTGTGAACGACTTATTACACGTGTGACAGATGTATGGCTTGAGTCCTTTGGCCGCGTGTGTCCTCTCGTGTGCGGAAAGAGTGCCCTTCACTCGAAACGTACGAAAACATTCCGAACACTTGAAAGGCTTGTCGTGGGTATGGATTCGCGTGTGACGGACCAAATCGCTCGACTTCTTGAACTCTTTATGACAGTAAAGGCACTGACGGTAACTGATTTTGCCGACCCGTCGCACGATATGCGGCTGACGAGTACCGGTCGCCGGATCGAAGAGTTGCGCGATTTGTTTGTCGGCCGAGTCTTTGCCCATAGACTTAACGCCACTTCTTTCCAACGCTTTACTCAATAGATCTCCCAAACGGTCGTCGATTGAACTCTTGTTTTGAATCGTTAAATCATTCAACGACTGCTGTCTGTACTCATAATTGGATTCGTTAATAGTGTCCACACTTTGACTCTTTGTGTGCTGAATGGGATGCCGACGACTGATATGACAGTTGAGTATTCCGACTCTTTTGAAGACACAATTACAATGCGGGCACTTATAGAGCTGTTCCGCGGGAGTGTTGGCCTGAGGGGCGTGAAGGCGCTCGATATGTGACCTCATATTCCCGCTCTGATTGAATTGTGCGGAACAGAAGCGGCACTCATATCGACGTTCGCCCGTATGTTTGGTTCGGTGAATGTCTAACGAGTTCTTCTGATTGAAAGCCGCGCCACAGAACTCACACACAAAGGGTTTCTCTCCCGTATGTATCCGCAAGTGTCGGATCAGTTGACTGTTCTTCGCGAATGCTTTATTACAAGTGTCACACTTGTGGGCAAAGCCTGTCCTATCGATGTTAGACCTATAGTTCTTGTGTTNACACACAAAGGGCTTCTCTCCCGTATGTATCCGCAAGTGTCGGATCAGTTGACTGTTCTTCGCGAATGCTTTATTACAAGTGTCACACTTGTGGGCAAAGCCTGTCCTATCGATGTTAGACCTATAGCTCTTGTGTTTTAGCGACCATTTGATTTTTGAGTGAAGTTTTTGGTGTTCTTTGAGTTGAGCGGTGTTTGGGAACCACTGGTGACATACAGAGCACGAGTACTGGCTTTTGGCCATAGAGTTAGCAGCTCTGGCGCCGAATCTGCCATTAGGTCTCTTGAATGCATTTAAGTGGACATTCTTGAGGTGTTTATTGAGATAATAGTGAGTCTGGAATTGCTGTGAACACTGACCACAACTGAGCAGTTCCTCCTTCTGGTGAAGAGTGAGGTGTGACTTAAGAGACGCCAATCGCTTAAAGTGTTTGTCACACTCGGAACAAGTGGGAGGAATGCCATCATCGGCTGAATAGTGTTGACAACAGTTATGCAGCCGTAGATTCACCTCAACGTTGAAGCTATTGTCACAACGGGAACACTTGTACGGCCGGTCTTCGGCGTGAGTGACCACAATGTGTCGCCTCATGTCCGACAAGTGATGGCTTTTATGGCAACAATAGTTGCACTCAAATGTGTTGTCGTCGATGAGTGTCACGTCCGATGAGTCCCAACCCGTCATCACCTCATCCGCCCTCTTGTCCACCAAAACAGCCCTAATTTCGGTCGTCTTTGCGGACATTGTTTGCCACCAAATGTCTCACTAATTGTCACTTAATTAACGGTTCAATCAATTGTTTACAAATTCACGACTCATTCATAAAACCTATTGACTTATGAATTGCGTCACGTAATCAGTGAACGACTCCTCGAAACACATGTTTTGTGTTTACAAATTGTGAGACAAATCATATCATATGAACCGTGTGGAATCATTCAAAGGTTCATTTTTATATAAAATCTATATAATTTTATATATTTAATGAATCAATGCCTATTTTGTGCTATGAGTAAACCAATGTATGAATGTAAAAATGAACCTTCAAATGATTCCACACGGTTCATATATTATTTATAGTCTTTGATTATCATCTCATACATGGCTGGCAATCGGATCCATAGGTTCGGCACAATACTGACCAGGTTTGTAGTGTTTGTCACGTGTCTGTTGTTGTGATACTTGTCTTAACTGACATTATCTCCGATTTTTGCCATAGAGTTGAAGGTCTGCTGAAGTCTGGAGCGATCGGATCCGAGAGTAAACCCATTTGGCTCGACGTCTATAAGCAGTTCCCGCCGCACGTCGAGCCCAAACTCAACCGTCCGCTTCCCGACCATCGGATCCCTGACATTGTTTACGCCGAAGACTTTATCAGAGCGTAAGTGATGGCCGGTGTTTAAGACAGTGTTTTACAAGTTATTTGTTTTATTAATATATCAGTCGTTTCCACGACACGTACGGAACCGTTGGTCTAATCGATTGTCTCAATCAGATGCCGAAGAACTACCGAAGCGTTTCCCAAATGTTTATTAATAAGTACATAGAAATGGCCAGAAATGACACGAACTTAACGGACGACCAGTTGTTTGACAAAACAGC